CAGCTGTTGCATATTTATTATTCCATTATGCGACTTTAATCTTATAAATTCTACTCACAGAATGTTTGGTGAGACTACAGATCAATAGCTCAACAGCCCAACAATGTAAATCTGACACAGGCATTGAGTGTATTTCACATTGTGGAGGTATGTTCTTCATCTTCTTCTCAAGCCAATCTTGACAAGAAATGGCTGGTTTTTCACCCTTTGTTTCTGGGAATTAAATCCACTAATGCACATGCTGAATTATCTTTCTTCCTACCACTAATCAGTCAACAAAAATAGATTTTTTTTCAATTCCACAGATGGCCATCAGTTACCTTTTCACCTTGATTCCAGTGAAATTTTCCTATATGCTAACCTATTCATTCTAAATATCTCCCCCCAAAGGACAAGGACATCTGGATTGAAATATCTTCGTTTCCAAAATTGAATTTCCTTTAATGAATAAGACTTTTTGTCCTTTTAGCTATACTAGCCTAGACACACAAATGTGAAGAGCAGTGCCTGTTTAACGTAGGGCAAAGTTACTGATAATTCAAACATAAGCCACAAAACGCGGCCAATTGACTATGTCATGCGATTACTGCAACTCTGCCTTCTTTGCACAATTATGGATTATCCTGTTGTATATCATCACCAGGGGCAACATTTCCTGTTTGTAAAGAGTTACGATTGTATAAACATGTAAAAGATTTCCACACGTGTGCGGGGGATGTCCATGGAAAATCTAAAGGCCTTGGGCAGGACTTTGCAGATGCATTCAGTTTTGAACAAAGAAAAAGCTCAAAGGATACCTGAAATGAAGGCACAGACCAAATTCTGTTCTAAACTGTGCTGGTATAGGAGTTTCTGCATAATTCTCCAGACCACCAAGTCGTCAGGATTATAATGATGTAACTTTGGGTGCATACAGATGCCACGGATAGTTCGGGAGGTTAGAACAGATAAAAAGGGGACACTGATCAAACTCAGTGATTAGATAGGTGTCAGGAGCCTGATCTAAGGTAAACTGGGGTAGACAGAGAAGCAGACAGGATCAGGAGACTAGCAGAGTCTGTTGGGGAGGATGGAGGGGGGGAGACCTGGGGGCTAGTGGCACTGGGGGGGATTGAAGAGGCCAGGAAGAGTTCTCTGCCCCCAGCCTCCCGCACCCCCAATCCCTCCAAACCACTCCCAATGCCAGTTTCACAGGTGTCCACCAGTGCCAGGAGCCCAACCAAAATAAACTGGGCTGGGGGAAGAGGCTGTGTGCAGATCATGGGGGGCTAGCGACTCCGCAAGGGTGGATTGGTGATCTCTGGGGGGGGCAGGAGTTCTCTCCCCCTCAACCAGGGGCTATTTTTAGCCCCCCGCCAACAATCAACCCCACCATCCCAATTTACTGCAAATCAGGCTCCCAGTACTAGCAAATGCTGGTAAAATTAGCACTTGGGGTGGTTTTCTGTCTGGGGTTGGGGGAGAGGTCAGGTGTGGGGCGGGAGGGGGAGATTAGGGAAGTATCGTCTCAGGGCTGAGGTGAGTGGCTTGGCTTTCCTACCCCTGGAACTGTGCTCCAAACTTGTATAGACATTAAGTTAGATCAGTCTAAACTGTGCCCTATCTTAATGTACCTCTCAGGTGAACTGAAGTTAGATCAGGCTGGCCATTTTTTGACCCATCTAACCTTCAGGGAATGTCTGTACAGTTTGGCACTTAGATCAACCTAACTAGGGATCTAAGTGTAAGGTTTGCACATGAGCAAACTTAGATTGAGTGGCCATTTTTTACCTGATTTAACCTCCTGAATTTCTGTATGCATCCACAGAATATTATACTAGAACCAAACTCTCCAAAATAAGAATATCAGAAAATTCCCATCCAACTCTATCATTCAGCTCAGATATTTACAAAAGATTTAAGTATCTGTAGTTTTCAGGAAACAAGATCAAGTATTATATTGGCAGTGGGACACATAAGTATTCTCATTCTGCAAAAATTAAGAAATTGAAACAAAGTTTAATTCTGGCTAGAAGCAAAATCAGGATTTGTGTTTTTGCCTTCTTGCCTTCACATTTAAGGAAGCTTTCTCTCTGATAGACAAAAGAATCAATAAATATAAAAGAGAGCTTGATTAATTATTTGTTGCTTGTTGGCACCAGTTGATAGAGGTGACTGGGACAGTCTTTATCTCCAGTTGAACTGAACACATTCAGCCAAAATCAGATTCTTCCACTGAGGACAAAAAGCTACAAGTGTAGCTTGTACCACCATGCATCTCTTTCTCACTGGATACTGTCAAAAATCCACTGCGTCTAGAACCAATGCTAAGAAACCCTGGCAAGTGCCTTAAAATACTATGTCCAGGCTGCTGCTAGCTTTAACCCTGTGGTACTGCTAGTAGCATAGCAGCAGTAGCATAAAGCTTGGTGCAAGGTAGCTGCCTAGCTTTTAAAATGGATCCAGCAGAAAGAAACTTTTAGAATCTCAGAATTTTCATCATTTTGGGGCAAGGATTGCTGCATATGTCTGTACAGTGCATAGTATAGTGGGGCTGGGTTCATGACTGAGTGTCCTACTTGCTATCACAGTCTCAATAAAATTTTTAAAAGTATTTAAGAACAATTACGCTTTTGAAGTTTACTGCACCTGAATGTACAAAAACAGTGAGTACAAGATATGTTTGCAAAATAAGAAAGGCACCAAATATTCTATGCTACTGGAGTCACTAAAAGAGTTTCCTTACCCTAAGTGACACATGTAGTACATGATAGTACAGGACAAAGGAATCTTTTTATGTCCAGAGTCCAAGGTAAATCCAGCATTTTGGAACAGGTGAAGCAGCAGTTACATATAGACTGAACAGAGATTAAAATAGGCCTAGTTTTCTGGAAACCGAGTGCTTGTGCAGGTTGATAGGACACACAATGTGCCCCAAAATTATTTGCTTTGGCTTTGTAAGTAAATAAGTCTAAGCTGCGATATAGCATTCTTATTATCTCACCATCTCTGTTCAAAAGCATATTCTGCAGAAGCAGTACATGCTGTAAATAAAATAGACTAAGATGAATTATTCATCAAGCAACTGAATCCACTCGTTACTCTTTCAAAAGGAAAATAACTCATTCCTTAAGTCCAAGACCTGACTGTCTACTCAGAAGCTGTGACAATATTATTTTGGCTTTCCCCTTCAAACCATAAGAAAGGTTATATATCAGTCTGAGGCAAAGGATAAAACCAAACCAGGAATGGACTATGGCATCTTACTTACAAATACACCTATCCAGCCCTAAAAATACGGCCAAGTGGCTTCAACAACATGGGAGGTGTGGTGGTGTCATGCCCCAGGGGCGGCCTTCAAGCCCCCTGGTGGCTGTGTGACTCCTGCCTCGCTCAATCTCTATTAGAGCCCTCCCTTATTTGCTCTCCTGCCATGCCTTGCTCTTACTAAAGGTTGCATGAGGGGAGGCTGCCCACAGGCCTTAGAGTGAGCCTTAGACCACTTGTGGTATCACTGGGTCTCTCCTGGACCCCAATCACTTTGATTCAACCCTTAAGTTCAATGGACCCCCACAGCTGGCCCTTGCCTCTTCAGGGATCCTGTAGCTTGGACGGCTTCAATGCATATCTGTGCCTGTCCCAGGCACCCACAGCCTTAAGGACTCAATGTGTGGCTCCATTTCCTCTCCTACACCATGCCCCAAAGCTTCACAAGTGTTACTATGATGTTGTTCCCTCTGCTGGAGCTCTGGCCTCCTCAGCCTCTGTCCTTTTAACCTAGCTGGGCTGTCTAATCTGGGCCCACTGTATTGGACCTGGCTCTGAGGCACTGGCTCTCACTTGTCCTTTTTAGTCACTGGGCCCCTGGCCCGTCTGCTGGCCCCCAGGGCCCTGTGTGGCTGCACTCCTCTTGAGCACTGGTCCCTTGGTCCCCGTCTGCTCTATAGCCTTGCACTGCACCCCTCTCTGGGCTCAACAATAGCTCAGGCCTACTGTGTACCTCTCAGGCACTAATGGGACCTCTGTACACCTTCCCTTACAGTCCCAACCCAAACCGCCAGTATAAACAGTAACATAAACCATAACAGAAATACAAACAACAGCAAAAGCAGCCCTCTGTCCCTTTAGGAGAGCAAACTTTCATCATCTCCCAGTGAGCATACCTTTCAGCCCGCGCTATAACCTAGCCTATGCGCTCAATCCGCTTGGGCTCTCGGACCCTCGGGCAGGCACCTCAAACCCTCTAGGGGTTAATATAAAACAAAGGCCACTTGCCTATAACCCAGTCTTTCTCAGCCCAGGGAACCTGATTCTGTTCCCAGGCCTACAGTTGTCCAGCAACATCCAGGTCCTTTCAGGAGCCCTGCAGCCAGGGGCTCCTCACTTCGCAGCTGCTGGGGAGAAACTACCTGACCCATGCAGGCTCTGGGCTTACACAACTCCAGCCTGAGCTCTCTTCCCATCAGCTGAGTCCCTCGTTAGTCCCCACCTGACACCAGCAAGTGGCCTCTCAGGCTGCTTGTTCTCTTAAAGGAGCAGGCATATTCCAATGCCCTGCGGCAAGAGCCAAACAGTCTGACCTGTGAGATTGGAGGAAGACTCAAAGTTTACCCAAAAACATTCCAAAACAGACTGCGGTTTGGAAGACAGTGTGCCCCCCTCCTACCCCTCACATGCACTCAAAACACAAAAGGGACAGTCAATGATTCCACACCCAGACTCCTTAGCAAATCTCTAGGGAACACCCCTGGAAAACTCCTAGCTAGTTCCTGTAGGAAACAAGCAATCTGAAAAGAAGCCCTGTGCTTTCTTGCTGTCTGATCACTCTGGAGCCTGTTAATTCCCTCCCCAGGGAATTAGCCTGCCTGAGCCTGTATACTATTGCACTTTTAGCACTTAATGCACTTTTACCTCCAGCTCTGAGACAACAAAAATAGTAATGCAGCTTCACACTATTGCTGTTCCTTTTTGATTTCTTGCTTTTCTAATTTCTCTATATATTTTGTAGAACAAACACATACCTTCCTTTAACTTGTGTATCCCTGATTCTATCCTGATTTGAGCACAAAATACTTCCCGGATTTGTATGCCACCTCCACAAAGCACTGTGTATTTATGTCGTCGAGGGTCCTGCTGGTCAAGGAGAAATGTCACTTGGCATGTTTTCCATTCAGAAGTCCTCCATGAAAACCTTTGGAAGGAAAATAGAGTATGTAAAACAGGTTTTATAAAAGGCCATTGGGGCATGCAGATTCTTTAAATCAGAAATTTGTGACTCTTTAGCATGCAAATTGCTTTAATATTTATTTTAAATCTTCTAGTTTAAGATAAATACACCATTGTCTGACAGTATGTTAGTATCATTTCTGTAGAGGTTTCCATGCCTAAATACTGATACAACTTAGCACTCATTTTCAGAGTCTTAAAATATTTACTGTTTAATGCTGACCACACAACTGAGGGCGGGTGAAAAAGGAACAGAGAGATTAAGATATTTGATTACTATGAAAACCGACTCCCAATCCAATGCTTGAAATCCCAAGTAATAACTCTAAGTCAATAACTATGCATCTAATTCAGAGAGATGCACAATACTTGCAATCTTCACAAAAATCAAAGTAGGGCCAAAGGCTGAGGGTCATTTGGGGATTTGTCCTACTGGACATGGTTTTACAGAGTTCCAGGGATTAATGGTTATTACTAGTTTCTTCAAAAGAAAGCGGAGTTCTATAATATTCTTTTCTTGAGGCTGTGACATGCAACAAGATCCAGATAAAAAGATTTTCTTCATACATTCAATTCACATCTAGTGAGTATAAACAGTATGGAATCTTCTGTCCAGGACAGCATTCAATTCTTAACCGCAAATTTGTAAATGACACTTAGAAAACACACAGATTTGATCCAGAAAAACTTAGGTTTTGTGTATCATAACACATCATAGGTAAGTGACAGGGGCCATAACAGACTTAGGAACAAGGGGGTGGCACAAACACCCACAGGAGGTCTTAAATGCCTCTACGCTAATGCTAGAAGTATGGGAAATAAGCAGGAGGAGCTCGCCCTCCTGCTAGCTATCATAAATCCAGACATAGTAGGGCTCACAGAAACCTGGTGGGATTCTACCCACGATTGGGCAGTAGATATTAAGGGCTACAGACTGTACAGGTGGGACAGGGCAGGAAGAAAAGGAGGGGGTGTAGGGTTCTACGTCAAGGAGCAATACACATCCTTGATGAGCAAGGTGGGGTCAGAAGAGGGGCTGACTGAGGTGCTCTGGGTAAGAATACAAGGGGGTCATGGGGAAAGGGACTTAACAGTGGGTGTCTATTACAGACCGCCCAACCAGGGGGAAAAACTGGACCGAGAATTTTTAAGGCAGCTTGCGGAGGCTGTCATGTCAAGAGATGTCGTAGTTATGGGTGACCTGAACTACACAGACATCTTCTGGGAAGAGCAATCAGCTAGGTTTGACCACTCATGTAGATTCCTAGCTGAGATACAGGACCTCCACCTAAGTCAGGAGGTGCATAGTCCCACCAGGGGAAATGCCCTGCTGGACCTGGTCCTTGACACAGGCGATGACCTGATGAGGGAATTGTGGGTTCTCGGCCACCTGGGCAATAGCGATCATCGCCTGCTGGAATTCACTATCCAGTGCAGGGTGTCAAGGGCTAGCAGTAAGGCAGAAGTCTTTGACTTCAGGAGAGCTGACTTCAATGAGTAAAGAAGACTAGTACAAGAGGCACTGGGATCCCAAAGCTTCAGGGAGATGGGAGTCTAAGACGGGTGGTCATTTCTCAAGGAGACAATCCTCCACTCCCAAAGGAAGTCAGTCCCAATGCATACCAAGGAGGTAAGAGTGCTACAAAGCCCCCATTGCTCAGCAAGGGCATTCAGGAATGGGGCTAAAAAGGAGGCATACATCCAATGGAAGCAAGGGGCTATTGCCAAAGAGGATCACACCTCCATTGCTTGAGGCTGTAGGGCAGCTGTTAGGAAGGCCAAGGCTGAGATGGAACTGGGGCTGGTGATGAGGATTAAGGATAACAAAAAGTCCTTTTTCAAATGCATAGGGAGCAAGAAGGTGGCACCAGTTAACATAGGACCCCTGCAGGATGCGCTTGGCAATCTGGTGATTGCTGCAAATTAAAAAGTGGACTTCTTTAACAAATTATTTGCCTCCATTTTTCAGAGCAGGGACCAAGACATCTCCCCCACTGGGAGTATGGAAGGACTCAGGAGAGGCACCGCCAGGCCCAAGGTTTGGGATGACGTAGTTAGGGAACTTCTGGAGGGGCTGAATGTGTTCAAATCAGCAGGCCCGGATGCTCTTCATCCAAGAGTGCTGAGGGAATTGGCGGGGGTCACTGCAGGGCCCCTGGCACAGCTATACAAGTGCTCATTGAGCTCTGGTTAGGTGCCAAATGACTGGAAAAAGGCCAAAGTGGTCCCCATTTACAAGAAAGGGAGAAAGGAGGACCCAGGTAACTAGAGGCCCGTCAGTCTTACCTCGGTCCTGGGGAAGATTTTTGAGAAAATTATCAAGGAGCATATCTGCAAGGGACCAGCAGGGGAGATCATGCTCAGGGGGAACCAACATGGGTTCATTAAGGGAAGATCCTGTCAGACTAACCTCATTTCCTTTTATGATCAGGTCACAAAGTCCTTGGACGAAGGCGTGGGGGTGGATATCATCTTCCTGGACTTTAAGAAGGCCTTTGACACTGTCTCTCACCCCGTTCTCATAAAAAAAACTAAGTGACTGTGGCATTGATGCCTACGCAGACAGATGGGTGGCTAATTGGCTGGACAGTTGCACACAGAAAGTGGTGGGGTACGGGTCATTTTTGACCTGAAGGGATGTGGGCAGTGGGGTTCCCCAGAGTTTGATCCTCAGGCCCGTACTGTTCAACATCTTTATCAAGGGGTGGAAAGCATGTTGTCCAAGTTCGCTGATGACACCAAGATGTGGGGCAAGGTGGGCATACCAGAAGGGAGGGACAGAATCCAGCTAGATCTAGACAGGTTACAGAGGTGGGCAGATGAGAATAGGATGGAATTCAATGCAGACAAGTGCAGGGTACTCCATCTCAACCTGCAACACACCTACAGGCTGGGGAACATGCTTCTCATCAGCACAGAGGTGGAAAGGGATCTTGGAGTCATTGTTGACTCCAGGATGAACATGAGCCACCAATGTGAGGAAGCGGCCAGTAAGGCTAACCGCACCTTGTCATGCAACCACGGATGCATCACAAGCAGGTCCAGGGAAGTGATTCTCCTTCTCTGTGCAGCATTGGTCAGGCTGCAGTTGGAGTACTGCATCCAGTTTTGGGCGCCGCACTTCAAGAGAGATGTGGCTAGCATTGGGAGGGTCCAGAGGAGGGCCACTCACATAATCAGGGGGCAGCAGGGCAGGCCATACGAGGAGAAACTACGGGGCCTGAACCTATTCAACCTCCACAAGAGAAGGCTGAGGGGGGAATCTGGTGACCGTCTACAAATTCACTAGGGAGGGATCAGCAGGGAATAGGAGATGCCCTGTTCCCCCGGGCACCACATGGGGTAACTAGGAATAATGGCCACAAGTTGATAGAGAGCAGGTTCAGGCTACACATCAGGAGGCATTACTTTATAGTTAGGGCGGCTAGGACCTGGAACCAACATCCAAGGGAAGTGGTGCTCACTCCCACATTGAGGGTCTTTAAGAGGAGGCTGGATAGACACCTGACTGGGGTCATATGACCCCAGCAAGGCAGGGGGTTGGACTTGATGATCTGTTTAGGTCCCTTCTGAACCTAGCTACTATGATACTATGATACATTATCTAATTGTAGGTTTAAAAACTAACTGAACTCCCCAAAAGAACTGATAGGAATTTGACAAAACAGAAATAAAAATCAATTTTTCCTCACACCATCCACAAGAGGAGGGGATCTTTTGTAGTAACTTGACCATTATCATAGGCACTTTCAATTTGATCCAGTGGATTGGACAGCAGATTGGGAAACAAGACACCAATGTCCTTCCATTTTTTCCAAGACATAAAATGAGAATACTGATAACTTATCAACTTTATCAAGAACTTTGATAAAGTACTATATAACTTCTGAGTATTGTATTCATTCTTTGCTACCATCTCCTGTATTATCTACCATTTCCCATTATAGTCCTGTGATCTTTTCCACTGCCTTCCCTTCTTCATATTCCCCAAGCTCTTTTCATGCTTGCTGCAAAGCAAGACCTTCATTTCTTATTGTATAGGCAAAATAATTTATATTCCTTCCTTTGCCCAAAAAACAAACACTTCCCCCGTTATCTCAGTTGCACTGATTGGTAAATCTGCATGTCAGATGTGTGCCTGCCTTGTCCTGGATTACTATAAACCAATGCAGCATCTGCTGTCTTGTGTGGAAAAAAAATTTCCAGCTTATAACTTCATGTGTTCTCCTTTGTAGACTTGAGGAAGCTATTCTTGTGAAAAAAAAATAGTAAGTCTGCATGCATCAACATTCTCTTACAATCTTATCTTGTGAATATAAGCGTAAAAATGACTTTTAGCAGAGCACTTATGAATTTTGTAAAGCACTCATGTAAAGTATTTGTAAATATTGCCAATTACTTTTAATTTATAGTTACTTTTCAGATGAGCTGTCATGTTCTCTCTTATATAATATAGAGTATCATGTACAAATCTGGATACATTCACAAGGTTTATTACCAGCAAGAAAAAATAATAAAGAACACATTTTGTGCATGACATGCATAAAGAAACTGTACTCCCACACCATATAAATCATAGTGGTTAATTCTTTAGACAGGAGTCCCTTTTGTTGATTATCACAGGTTTTCTAATATGTCACATTAATGCAGCTCCTGAGTTTTTACATGAGGACAAGGAAAATCACACTTCTGCATGAATTAGGTGAATAAGATCATTTATCACACTCCTCCTATCAAATTAAAACATCTTTCCTGCTAGAGTATCTAGGACCCACTTTTCAAAATTGCAGCTTAAATATAAGCATATGTAAATCTTTATTTAGGCAATTAAAGTCTTGTGTTGGGCCCTTAAATACAAATTTAAATCAGTACATAAGGGACTGGGGATAAACTTACTATCGGTTGCATCTGCACAAGACGCTTTATTATCAAGTAGTGTAGTTAACGGGGCAGTAAGCTCGTGCA